TTAAATAATATGTAGCACAAAAAGAAACAATATAAAATAACCATAAACTAGATGTATAACTAAAAATTATTTAACATTAGAAAATAATTGCTAGCAATTTAAAGAGAAAAATTAAAATGTAAATTCTGCCCCCCCCCAAAAGTATGGTAAAAGTCAATATGCAAAGGTTGGTGGAATGCTTGACTAGCATGAGTAAGGCACTAAGCTCAAAAAAAGTACAAGGTGGCTAGAGAGATGGCTCAGCGGTTAAGAGCACTGGCTGCTATTAGACAGGACTTGAGTTCAGTTCCCAGAACCCACATGTCAAATAACAACCATCTGCAATTCCAATTCCAGAAGATCTGTCATCCTATCCTAGTCTCCACAGTCATTGTATGCACTAGTACACTTATCAACATGCACAAAAGAAACACAAATAAAAATAAACAAATCAAATAAAATGTTTAAGAATTTCACTGTAAAATTTTTGCTATGTTAAATATACATCTTCTGTTCTGTAGCTTTACTCTGTAAAGCAGGGATGCAATGGTACATAACTGAATTTCCAGCAACTCTGTGCAAAGTACAGAAAAGCAAGGAAGATCAAGAAAAATTGACTAAATGAATTAATGATGGTTTGAAATATAAACAAGAATCAAAAATCTTCCAGATTGCCTTCCAATTCCATTGTACACAGAATATGCAGCAGTTTCTATTCAAAAAGCAACTAAGGAAGAGCAAAACTTCCTTCTTTTAACACTAAAAATTAAATTTTTATTATTACATTAAGACAAAAAGAAATTTTATAGACTCATGGCAAATGTTTCCCAGACACAGTTTGGAAAAGAAAAAGTAAAACAGGAAATTAAAACAAGTACGAAGTGAGGGTGAAAAGATGACTAAGTGATTCATAACAATGGCTGCTCTTGCAGAGGACCCAGGTTCAGTTCCTAGCACCCATATGTTGGTTAACAACCATCTGTAAGTGCAGCTCTAGGGAATCTGACACTCTCTTCTGGCCTCCGTGGGCTTTGTACAACATGGGTGCACTTATATACATACAGACAAAACACTCATACACATAAAATAAAAATACTTAAAAAAAGACAAGAAGGGCAGCATTGCTCAATGGTCAAGCCCTTGTGTAGCATGTGCAAGGCCTTGGGTTCAACCCCTAGTGTCACTAAAAAATATAACAAAATTTTTAAAAGCTAAGGAAACAAAACCAGAAATTTGTCCTAATCTTTTTACTTAATAGTTTTTATTTTCATTGAGCTTAACTTCTAATTAGATTAAGACAGTCTGCCCATGTCAGTTTTATTTTTCTCTCTAGCACAGAAAAAAAAAATCATCAACAGAACTTCTGAGTTTTCTTATAACATGGTGTACATAATTCGATATAATAAACTGAAACAATGAAAGATAAGATCAAATAAAGTAACAGGGAAAAGAAGACTAAAGGAGAACAGGGAGAGAAAGAGGGAAGGAAGAGAATGAGGGAATGAAGAAGGAAGGGAGGGAGGGAAGGACAGAGGAAGGACCAAGCCAAGAGACAGGTAAGAAAGCAATAGAGAGGGGAGAGACCAGGCGAATTCTTGTTCTATAGACAAAGAGTTCGTTTTACAAGATAGCAAGAGTTCTAACATGAATGGTGGTAGTACTAGTACAGTAATATGAGCACATTTATTAATGCCACTGAACTATATTCTTAAAAATTTAGTTACGATAGGGGCTGGAGAGAGGGCTCAGCGATTAAGAGCACTGATTGCTCTTGCAGAGGACCTGGGTTCGATTTCCACCACCCACATGGCGGCTACAACTGTCCTTAACTCTAGTTCCAAGAGAATCTGAAGCCCTCTTCTGACCTCCATGGCATTGCGCGACATGGGTGCACTCACATACATGCAGGCAATACACTCATACACATAAAATAAAAATAAATAAAATATTTTTTTAATTTAGTGAAGATAATAAATTTTATATGTGTTCTGCCAACTTTCAAAAGAAGTAATAAAAACAAGCATGAGGATTAAGGTTCAGTGCTCAGGGAATGGAGATAGGGAATTCTTGGAGCAAGCTAGCTAGCCAGACTAGGTGAACTTGTGAGCTCTGGGTTCAAGTGAGAGACCCTACCTCAATGTATAAGGTAAAGAACAATCTAGGAAGGAAATGCCAACCTCTGACCTCCATACAAACACACACGCACACACACACACAGTGTAAACATGCATACACACGTGAACCAACTATATAT